GGACGGAAATGTCTGTTGGAAATTAGTGAGTAACAAGGGAAAACCTTTAAAAGTACCGTTTATTATATTTTAAAAGTGCGCAAATGCAGAAAGCCGTCGGTTAATGTGTTTTGCTTGTTTTGAGCATACTTAAGTTTTTATGGCATTTATAGTTTAGTTATTAGTAATTAGGGAAAGTCAGTCTGTTTTGGGTGTAATATGATTGGTTGTCTGAATTTTTCATGTCTCAGCGTATGTTATGAAAATGTAAATTCAAAGGAAAGAAAGTTAGGTTTACTAAATGACTGAAAAAATATGTCGTGGTAAAAATTTAAAGGATATGTTTCGACTACTTGGTACTTGAAGAGAATAAAAGAAGAGTAACGAAAGAACTTTATAGATCGATCATGTTTATAGTCTGGACTAGAAGCGCTAAGAAAGGTCATCTGCGTGGGAACATACAGGGCCGTGTGATCAGCACCAAAAACTATCATGCAAATACATGATGATTTATTTTACTTATATGTACTTACAAGTGAATATTGAAGCGAAATAGAAGTGTAAGAAGAGAAGCAAGCAAAGTAAATGTTTTCTAAAAAGTGGTGGCATACACCAATAATAATTATTATTAAAGTCGCTTATGCTTTAAGAGTACGCAAGTCACCCTTCTTGGTGTTTTGTTTGCAGTGTTGTCAACTGAGATTGTATGCCTTATGTCTGTTCACTACGTTTAGTCACTAAGGCATCACATTGGCTCTTAACACCATCTGATCTACTTATAGTATGACTTCAGCCTCAGTGTATACTTGACAATAAATCGAGTATTCTAACGACCATGTGACACACATAAATTTCCAGCTCTGGGTATATCCAGCAAGATAACTGTATGGTGGAAAGCTATCCCGAAATTACGCATTTCACATACAAATACCTAATTTGGAAGTTGAAGTGCGCACATTATACAGGCGGGTGCGCATTTAAATTATTCCAGCGGATCGTTTATAGGCCATAACCGAATTTGGGAATTACCTATAAAACAACATTTGATAGGGGCGCGGCCGGCGCGGGTAGCGATTTGAATGTTTCGCCCGTTTCGGTGCTCATTGGCTTGCACGCCACGTCCGCACCGTTAGCCCCATATTGCCACCTTGCCACCACCAGCTAGGTCTCAGGTGACACTTGAACAATTTCGCTATTTTATGTAAGAAGAAGCATTCTTTGAGTGTGCATTCAACGGTATAATACTTACTCCCTTATTAATAAACAAGGAATAAACTTAGACTAGTTTCGCTGTGTTTTGTTCATATTACTCAAGTGCCATTTGCAATTCAATGAACTGAGGCATAACACGGAGCAAGTAATCCAAGCTTATTCTTAGTTAATGAATGTGTGCAGTAACAAAAACTAAGGCTAAGGACGTCTTATCTAAAAGTGGTAACTTTTTATGTCATCAGACTTCTCTAAAGATTTGTTTAGTAGTTAGAAAAACAGGTCCAGTGCTAATCGGACTCATGCACGAAGGGTTCCGTACAATTATCTATACAACATTAGACACTTAGTATATTATAATATCAAAAAACGTCAAAAATATCAGCTGTTGTATGGGAGATCGCAACAAACCGCAACTATAAAATAATTTGCTTGTTTTCGTCACAACTTACAAAGTACATTATGAATGGAAGTTTTCAGTATTTGTTATTTAAATACAGCGTATGGGACATCATTACCAAATTTCACATTATCAACTAAGCAGTTCGATTTTGAGATAGACTCTGTAACAAAAAAGTTCTAATAATTACAATTTGACTCCCTCCATTTCTTTGTTATTTGGAAATAAAAAATATTAAAAAAATAATATATCTTTCCTCCTTTAACAAGCTCTAAAATATGATGTGTGTGCTGGGGTAAAAAGAAAGAAAAAAAAGGTTAGTTGTAATCTGATGTGTCCTAACTATCATCATCATCATCATTAACCCATGCTCGTCCACTGCTGGACACAGGTCTCCTCTAATGCACGCCACTGCTCCCGATTTTCTGCCTATAACTAAAATCGCTTAAGTGTTATATCAGACAAGACCCAACTGTAATCATTAGAATAGAAAAAAAAATAAGACAGAAAATGCAAAATACCATTAAGCCGAATAGTATGATTACATGAGTGTAGGCTCCAATAGGCACGAATTATAAATAAATATAATTAACCGTCGTGACTCCGGGAAGGAGTTTACTGGAAGCGAGCCTGGAATAGTTTAAAGGAGGCTATACTTCGCAGCAATTTAAATTCCATTACAATGAATATAAAAAGCCAATTCGAGCCTGTATCGGTACCTGCTGCAAGCACTATGCAGCGCCTTCTCGATAATTTCTTTAAAACATTCAGCTATATTTAAGCAGGCTTTATTGAGCGGTAAAGAACAGGCAATTTAAAATGTTATTTGGATTGCATGCAATTGTTTCGTGTACAAAATGCTACATTATAAATTTAAAGGTGTTGGTGTGAATATTTTATTCCATCCGTTATTCTAAAAAAGGTAATGTAACATATTCATAGTATGCTCAATTTTTTTAGGGTTCCGTACCTCAAATAAAAACGGAACGGGACACTTTGTTGTCCGTCCGGCCGGCCGTCCGTCCGTCTGTCCAGACCGTTTTTCTCAGGAAGGCGTGGAGTTATCAAACTGAAATCCATATCTAATACTCAGGTCACTGACCCTTGGAGCAGTGAAAAAAACAAACTTCTAAGCCAAAGCAATCAAAAGATATACAGCCGTTTATGCCGCAAATTTCCGCAAATTTTCGAAACTCGCACGGGAATCAAAACCTACAGAGTACTACAGAATCTTGAAATTTGGTACGAAGTAACATCTTATAGTACAGATAAAGGAGAAATATAATTGCGAAAACCGTAAATTTTTAGTTACATTATGTAATAAAAAATATTTTTTAATAGTTATTAAAATATACTTACAGGTTTGTACGGAACCCTCGGTGCGCGAGTCCGACTCGCACTTGACCGTTTTTTTTTATTATATTTTAGTTTTTCAAACTTTACCTATTTTTTTTACTCGTTCCGTATATCTGGCTGCTTATTGTAACATTTATTAAACCGCACATTATTATATATTAACATTAGCTTTATTGACCGAGTCACGAAATATTGTTTTAGACTTTGATATTTGTTTTTAATTTATTTCACTGTGCTTGCTCAAGATATAACTCAGTGGCAAGTAACAATTACCAAAAGAAAATTAAAATCCCTCTCGGATCTTATTACTTATATAGGTACTTCATATTGTTTCTGTACGTAGGTATATATTATTACGTTCAAGCTCGCTGACCCTGGTCAAAAGGGAACTCTTTATTGCGTACCTACTTCAAGATTGTAGTACCCGTGCATGTTATTAACTCGGACAATACCAGCTATCCGTAACATTTGCAATTGACTTAACAATTACATTAGATGTGGGGCTGTCATTCAAGAGGCGTCGTAAGTACACTCGTGCGAACCAGACCCGGTATTAAACTGAGCGAGCAATTTCGCAAATAAAACAATAATGATAGTGCTTTGTAATTGTAATGTTTCCTCTTATTCCGTGATCGTCGTGACGCTCTCTGCAGACCGATATCATTCTGCTAGGAAACTGTCTGATTTATTAACAGCAAATTGTTTGTATCACTCATTCGAACTTCAGTCAACACAACATCAGTTGGTGTGATAAAAAAATAATTTCAATAGAGGTATAGCGATTTCCTGCTTAAATTGGAGCGCCTGTCTGGGGAAGTAACCTCCATCTTACAGAAGACTCAGTTAAATAACAATACCTTTTGGTGGAGTTGTATTTTTGTCGACGAGTAAGGCTCCCGGGTTCCTCGGGGTAGGGTTCCTCCTTTTTTTTTATAACGTAGGCAAAAAATCTTTTTACACGCGACGGCGCCTTTAAGAGGCACACCGCCGAACGGACCTCACACCTGGCTCCCGCAAGTCTTACGGACCCCCCACTACCCACCGAGGACCCTGCAACTCTTACGGGCGCTTGAGGCATAATATCCGCTAAAAAAGTCCTGCGAATACCTTCTACACTGCTTAATGCGAAGTCGCGGGGTCGGGGTAGGGTTCCTCCTAACCCAATCGTTAGAGAAGGCAACGGCGGGGAATGATATTGTTTGTGTTGCAAGCATCTTTGTTGGCCGCTTTCCATCAGATGGGCCATATGCTCGTTTGCGACCCTTCAAACAATAAAAAAAAACATTAATATAGGGTCAATTATTTCTTGCAATATCTGATCGATTGAGAAAAGTTTAATTAGTTGTGATATTTTTATTCGACCCAACGAAGCTTAGGAAAGAAAGGCGTAAAGTTATTTTATATATGTATATCGAAAACGCCTCCAGACGTAGTGTCGGATGAAAGTCATTACTCCGTCATGGTTGTACGTGTGTTTGTACGTACAATGTCTGTCCGTACACCTGGTTCATTTAATGCACCTTGTAAACAGCTTGATAACAATTGAAGATAATTATTTAAAACAGACAGTCTTCCTCACTAAGGTACTTAAGATGACATTGTACTACTTTTGCCAAATTAATAATGAACAATCTATAAAGAAATTTTGACCAAAAAAAATTTAGTTAAACAATTTGGCAGTTAATTTCTTTCTAATAAAAATAAAACTTACTTATGCTTATTAAGAAAAAAGAGATGAAAACAATATAATAATTATCAATATGAAAAAAATGGCATGTGATTGACATGAGGTTTAAAGTAGGTTTCGAGATTGTCTTAATGTCTTAAGGCGAAATTTAAATATTCTTGTAAGCAGTGTGCCCACTCATCCAAAACTTAAAACTGTGACAGTATAATTTTTGGTTAAGCGGTATATTTCTGCCTTTTATATGTTTTTATTTCATAGTCTTTGGATATGGTAATAAGACAATATTTTTATCATGAATTTAGTGGTTTTTATTTTCATAAAGTTAGTTTTAATTTTTGTTATAATAGTTTTTACTTTGTTTATTGGCAGATGGATATTTGCGACGTTGGCCGAGATTTGGTCAAGACTTTTGAGAGCCCCATCGGTTTAATGATTACTCAGAGAGACTGCAGCAAGTAAATCACCCCGTATGACAAATTTAATAAAAAATAATTCTTATAATGATTTCTAAATATTTAATCTATCTCTAAGATAATACTAATATCCGTGTCAATTGGTATTACTGCAATTGATATAAACAAATTGGGTTGATTTCGTAACAGCTAAAATGATTTACGTATAAATAGGGAAGCCTTTTAATAGTTTTATCATAACTATTATAGCACTGTTTTTAATTGGAGTTAGATACATTTATGCTATATTAGCAAAATGTTTGCATATATTTCTTTACTCTGTTTTGTCGCTTTAAGCACCGGTCATACTATAACAGCTCCGAATTCTTCCAAAGTGGACATTAAAAATTTCAATCCATCTAATGTCAAACAAAGAAGTTCTCATGTAAAGGATTTCGTGGAGTTGGTGGATATGGAAAAGTTAATGATGGTAGCTGTAGACCACATAAATAATAATGAGATAAATAATTTCCTATCTTTGGAATGGAGCACGCTTTTTCACAGCTTGATAAACAAGATTGTAGAACTAGATGAATTTAAGAAGGTAAAATTTTTTGTATTATTATTTTTTTAGTATGTTTGTATTCGCGATTCTTTATTCTACCGTACCGTAACTTCTTAATGCTTAAACAGATCTGGATGTATAGGGTATCATTCACCTTATTAATGTCCCCACTGCTGGGGCAGGCCGTCCCTATGGATGAAATAGGGAGATTGGGCCAAGACCCACCACGCGGGCCCAGTGCGGATTGGCGGGTGCTAACGAATGCAGATGCAGCCGGGACCAACGGCTTAACATGCCTTCCGGAGCACGGAGGAACTAGAGATAGAAGATTTTTGGTCACCCATCGAAAGACCGACCACTGCGAAAGTTGCTTAAGTTCAACATTCTCAGCCGAACGGGCTAACCACCCGCGCCATCGAGCTCGTCCATCATCATTACCCTAAAATTATCACGAGTGGGCCTGAATTTAAATTATTGTAAAAAAAAGAAAAGCAATATGGTGACCTGTTAGATCAAAAATTTGATTTTCAGAACGGATCTTCGACTGCAACAGATTTCGACTTCTTTTTCATTTTGAGGTATTTTTTTACGGAGCCAGTTTTGCTCAATCCTAATCTAAAACAATGTAACTTAACCCTTCCTGTGCCTGGCAGATTTTTACTTGGCCCGTTTTTCGGTTTTTTCGATATGAAAAATGCATTTAATATATTTATGAGTTATGTTTTTTTTTGGTGTCTGTAGACTTTATTTTATATTTACTTACAAATCAACATTGTATTTTAAACTGTCACTGATAAAGATGACTTTATTTACAGATCCTCGAGTTCTTAGAATCGAAAGGGTTCAGTTTACAATTCTTAGGCAATAATCTGAACGCCTTCATCGATTACTCCTTAAAGAAACAAGATGATACTTATATTCAATTGCAAAACAACCCGGAGGTAGCGAGGCTATTGGAAATTTTCTACTCAGAAGAATTCATCGATATGTTGAAAATGTTACTACAGAAAATTAAGGCACTGTTTGACACTTTTGGTTATGCATTGTTTGAAAGCGTCTGCGAATTCTTAAGAAATATTTTTGGGGATATAATACCAAGCAAATTCTGTTAGTAAAACAATAAACTTGTTATTTGATGAGGTTACGATTGGTCTCTAGCTTATAATAAATTATAATCATTATATGCATACGTTATTTCAAAAAAATAAAAAAATACCTCCATCTATATTTTTTATTTAATATTTCATTACTGATTGAACACTTTTTGTTACTGGCGAATAAGAATAGTCGTTTTATTAATAACAGTTTATAATTTATAAAAAAGGAATATGATAACCCAAAAAAATATACCAACTTCAACAATGGTTCATTACATTGACGACTGTCAGTTGTAAATCTTAGGTCTGACGCAGACGACCGATTTGTGTCGATCTTATTATATTTTAGGTCACAATAGAATATAGGAGTTTGAATAGAATATAATTAGATATTTAATGTTTACTCGCCAAATTGCTGAATTGGGGTTTAATGATAACAAAGTGAAGCACAACTGAATCACACACGAAAAAGGGTGTCTTTGCTGCTTTGTAAAGCTATCCAAAATCTAAATGTTAATTCAAGCTATACAGTGCATCTGATATTATAAGTGCCTTAAACATTATCATGGTTCGGCTTTAGGTATTCATCATGAGATAATAATGATTTACAATTTTGCGAGCTATGTTGGTCTAATGGTCACTCGCAGAGGCTGCGGAAAGTTAAAATTTTGTTGTGACCATAAGGTTCCATCATTCAGTTTTTTCTAATTATATCTTCTTAGCCCTCGACGGAAAAACGGGTGCTTTAAGTTTAAGTATTGGCCCATAAATAAATTAGAATTTTTGTGTTTAGACTATTTTTGTGTGTCGGGAGATTTTTCAAATAATTGTTTCACATCTGCCAGATCTCCCATTATTGCAATAAACCTGATTCGGGTATGATTCTCTCTGTCTTATTTTTACAGAAGACAGTACTTTAGTTTAGTTCTATATGAAAAGGATACTCTACTCTCTTGATATTTTTCTTTTTATGCATCCATGTACAGTATTTGTAACTTTAAAATATGCAAAATATTCGTTCGACCTAACTGCACGTGCTAAGATTTAGTTATGTCAGCCAGTATCGGTTACCGCGTACGGAGCCGCGCTGTCGCCGCCGTGGCTAGTTAGCGAACTCGTTACAGAAGTACGTTATTCTACACCGATCCGCACTCACCAACGAACTCGTGATCTTACCGAATGCTTCATTTATTAAGGCACCTAGAGAAGAGAGCGCCTGTTTTACTGCAACAATGATAACTGAAGCACATGGAAAAGTCAATAAATTTCTTTTTTCTTCTATTCTTCTTCTACTCTTCTTCTATTGTCATAGCAACCCCAGTGGTGAGATTTGGTGATCAGATAGTCCGGGGGGAAGAAATTAATGATGGCAATTTCATCAATCTAAAAAAGTTTGTTGTCATCTCTGAGGGCGTTTGTAAGCTTTGATAATTTTAGGAATAGGAGAATCGATTTGTTTGTCATTTATTATGCCTATTTAATGGAATAAATTGAAATAGTTTTTTTTATTACCAAAGAAATTAAAAATGTTTAGAGGCACATTAGTACCTAGGAATCAAGATAAGTACCATCAATAACTCAGAAGTCTCAAAACTCAGTGGAATAACGTTATCAAGAATTTGTAATTTCAAAAGGATACTTATAAATTAATGAGTCATTTTATGTTAAATAACATTTATGTGATTCTAGAATTCGATACACAATACTTCATGTACTTTTTTGTCTCTAAATAGCACTGAGTTTCGGAGTGAAGCAAAATTGAATTCTAAACATCCTGAATATGTGAAATATTCCAATTTATATAAACTATATAGTCCGGGAGCCACCAATCTCAAAAGCTCCAAGATAACGCTTACTAAATTTTTTAAATGAAAATTTAAAGATAACACTTGGTACCAAAAATCCAGGAACAAACAAGGCCGGCGTGGCTTTAGTTTCCCGAAAATATTTTTTAGAAATTGTATATTTTTAATTGTCCAGTATATTTTACCACTATCATGGATATTTATAATCACATTGATAAAATTATAATTATGGATTAAGTAAATGATAACATGTTGCTTGGTCGTTTTGTAACTATAAGAACTACTGTATTACAGAAAAGCAATGACCACAAACGAAATGAACGTAGAAATGTCCATAGAGATGTGCCGAGTCAGGCTGACTCGAATACCTAGCAGGTACGCACGTACTCGAGTACTCGAAATATGGTATTCGGATACTCAGTCGTTGTACTAGTATAGTGAAGTTAGTAACGTGATTTGAACGTGTTTATGTTTCCTACTCTTCCGATCAGTTAAATGAGATGTTAACAATATTTTAATTACATATTTGTTTCTTATAAGTAATTATCTATTTTAATTAGTCGAACTCTCGGTTACCAGTTTAACTGTAGAATTTAAGCCATTGAACATTACAAAGTAAGCAAAATGAAAACGAAACCGTGGATGAGAGTTCTGATTTGGACTTGGAGTCATTAGACTCAATAGTATCGTCATGGAGCTTATTAATATGATAATTATAATATTAATAAATGACTGATTATACACTTAATCTATTATTATTAATATATTTTCCTATCATTCATATAATATGATTATTAATGATGATGATGATGAAGCAAATTTCAAGGTCCGATTCAAAAAATACTCGAGACCAGTAAAGTATTCGAATACTCGTGCTAGTACTCGAATACCTGTCCGAGTCTTCCAACTCGAGTCCTAATTCGAATCTTTTTTTAACGAGTACTAAAATACCCGAATACCAAAAATAACCGACTCGGCACGTCACTAATGTCCAAGCTACATATTGCGACTGAGGTGTATAGTTTGTGAAGTTAGGCCTTGTAGAGTGAGGGCGTGCAAAGTTAGAAGCTAGGCTCTACATGAGATCTATAACTTTTGGCAATGCGAGTCAACGGTCTCGTCTTGAAAAATGATTTGTGTGGATGTCTTTAAAAATACAATATAATTGATAGTATAATTATCAAACATATTATAAAAACACGTATGCGTGATATTTCCGGCAGTTTCTGAGCACGTATACAAAGATATTTTTGAATGTAACATTACAAAGCGTAAAATAAAAAAAAGGTTTCCATGATAACAGAAACGTTTTATTCCCTATTAAACCATTAAATAGGTCTTAATTTTTATTAAAAATTTAATTTAATTATGCATAGTAATGGAGTTTCTAGGAATGGTGGCTTTTCGCCTACTAGGTATCCCTGCCACTCCCCTATGCAAAGCATGTATGGAGGCAGAGGAAACGGTGGGCCAAAGCTCCTCTCGTATACCAGCGTGTGCCAGATCTGCGGGGAGGTTCTCGGTACACCGGGATCCCTCGCAAATGTCCTGAGAAGACTGGGAAGACCTGTTATGGAGGGAGGTGGGCTGACTGGATTAATCTCTCACATACAATGGTCCATTTTAAGGATTTACATTTTAATTAACATGGAAAATACCAATTTCACCTAATTTTGTGTGATGGTCGACCGGACTATGCTCAGCGACGACGACTGCTGTAAATTAACAACTAAAGTTGGTGTCGTACGCCACAGACTAGTTTTTTCTATTGAATTTCATCAACTGACATTATTTTACCACAAAATTATTATTTTTAGTAAGTTACTATGAATATGTTAGTACAGCATCACTGGTGAGGTTCTCCTATGGTCAATAATGTTTCAAGAGTTGCTTGGGAGAGCAAATGAAGTCAGATTAGGCGAACCGCCTGCTTACTGGTAACACAAGCGTATTGTAGTCATTAAATGGATAATTGACACCCTATTACTTAAAAAAATAAATTAAAATTTTTGTTTTCTAATATACCTACATTTGATTTCTGAATTAGCAAATATTTTGTTTAGTAAGTGATTTTGAGTAAAATGGGTATTAAACATTTACATTTAGACCACAAAAATTATTATTTTTAGCAAGTTACCATGAATATGTTAGTAAAACATCACTGGTGAGGTTCTCCTATGGTGAATAATGTTTCTAGAGTTCCTTGGGAGAGCAGATGAAGTCAGATAAGGCAATGTGCCTGCTTACCTGTAATACAAGCGTATTGTAGTCATTAAATGGATGACTGTCACCTTAATACTTAAAAAAATAAATTAAAAATTTTGTTTTCTAATAATGTTGGTAACATTTGATTTCTGAATTAGCAAATATTTTGTTTAGCAAATGATTTCGAGTAAAATGGGTATTTAACATTTAGATTTGAAGTGCTTTGCAGGAGTAAGCGTAATAAGCAATTCAAAACAGCCTATTCGAAAATTAATTTTCGCCGTCACGCGATGCACCGGCTGTTTAGCTTCGTAACGACTTCACCTCCACTTGCGGTTGAAGTCGGGTTTGGTTATTTGATTGCGGTTTTCCATTTTTAGATCGGTATCGTCCAAATGAGTTTGTACGGTTCATATTTCCTTTTTGTGTTGTTATTGTTTTTACTAACATCAGCCTTTAATAGATATTACTTGGAATTTCGATTGCTCGCATCATTTTATATTTAAATAAGTATTGGAAGACAGCGTAAATATATTGGATAATTAAAAGGTTTTTTATTTTAAAAAATGGCAAACAAGCTTAAGGCCTGCCTATGGTAAGCGGCCACCATAGCCATAGAAGTATGTTTTAGTAATCATAAATTACAATGATACCACCGATACCTAGACCGAAGTTAATGAAGTTTGTTTCTCTATCTTAACCTGACTTTCTTTAGGGATGTTGGATAAATAACCAAAAAGAGTACTACAATATATTTTTTTAACGTTTATCGCCAGGTTTTGTAATGTGGAGTAGTTTTTGTTTGATTTTTTGAAATGAAAACTTCTTTGGCACCGTTGTGGTTCGAGATTAGATGAAACGGAAGTAGAGTATTTGACACAAGATAGGTATCCGTAATTTTATCATTTACCAGAAGAGACGGTTAGATGGAGGGTAACGGTCTTGGTTCAACCGACACCGTCTGATCGGTGGTTCGATCCTGAGCCCTGTAATTTTATTTAATTACTTTTTTCTCTTATATTAAGCTATTGTTTATTTTTCGAAACAATTTAAGTACACACAATTTTAATTTGCCCAGAATTTTACAATACCTGCACACTTAAGTAGGTAGTAGCTTGGTAGGTACCTAAGTTGTTTATTAATACAGGTTTGATTTTAATTAACAATCCTTAACTTTCCAATGTTTTCATTTTTTTACAGTATTTTTTCATAAATTAATAAGTATTTCAAAAAAACCTAAGATAAGAAAATAAAATAGCTGGTGACAAATTAAACTCTTACGTGTTCACATTATTGTAGGTTTTTAATTGTAACGCAAATAAAACTTTGATCTGTTCACATCACTGATACGGGTAAATCATGAGGAACATGTGGATATATCACAATTTAAGATTAAATAATGAGAAAAGAGTGTTTTCTACAAAATTGGGATCATTTCGATTGAAATGTCCACGACGTCACCATTTTTCACGGAGCGCGTACTTCAAACTGATGTAAAAAAATCTAAAGTTCAGAGAGCACTGCATTTTTATTCAAAACGCTATCTACATATTTTAGCTAAATTAAAGAGACCACAAGCAGAGATAAGGATGCTTTTTAAAGCGTGCTAATGAGCATAAAACACAACCGCCCACAGAGGACACTCAAGTGTCCTCGGACGTTTGACTGGAAAAACTTTTATGATACTTCAAGTGTCATGGGACGTTTGGGAGGGTACAAAGCATGAGAAAAGGCATCATAACATCCATGGTGTTCTTTATAAGTGTACGTATTATACATTTGTAGTTATTTCATAATTTTTATATCTATCGCAAAAGCAAGGCAGTGTTTTTGTAATCAATCAACCCCGCAATCTCGCGGAGTACCGGGATCGATCCCAGTCGGGTCAACTTATAAAATTTACTTTTTTTTATTTTCGCGGGTCTAGCTGATTATTTTATCATAGTTTTTTTCTGATTCCCTTAATACAAAAAATTCAATTATCTAATTTTTAAATAGTAATATTATGTATATGATGTTGTACTCTATTTATTTAGTGCCTGGGTTCCGAACCTGGGGGTAATTCCCCTGGGGGGGTAAATTAGCCATACTTGGGGGGTATCAAAGAACCAAATTATTTGGTCAAATCTAAATACTAAGAAAATACTATATAATAATGCTACTAAATAGAGCATGCGCTCCTTCTTGCTAGCGAGACCGCGGTGTCCTGATTGTGGGAAGCGGGGCGAGATTTTCTCCTGATGATGACATTATTAGAGACGAAGATGTAGCGGCCAAATTGGAATTTCTTGGACTGATGATAACATTTTAAAGTCAGGGTAAAATCTGTTTTCCGAATAGGTTCCAGGGGTAGCCGTATTGGAAAGGTTAGGAAACACTGATTTAGTGGATATCGTCTGATATGTTTATTACAGTTTATTTCTTGCTCGTTAATCGCTACATAGCTTCTATCTTGTCTTTGTAAAATGTGTAAATAACTTGTTTTTTAATTCGTTTTAGTGCCGCCATCTATTGAGAAATTAAGCATTTTCTTAAACGATTACGGCAGTGCTTTACGTCATTAAGCAGCTCTTATGGTGTTGTGTACACCGACATGTAGATAATCGTCAGTTCAGCTACCCCTAAAATATACGAAATAATAAATGATTATTTTTCATCATTTTTACTGCGATCTAAACGGGGATGCCATTTCACGTCCTGTCCTGCTGAGATAAGTGAAGGCACGCTCCGGAAGTGGGCTCATCCGGAGCTATGCATCGCTTCCGGTCCAACTGTCGTCACATCCGGTTCCGTTAAGCAAGAGTCGTGTGTACACTCAGAGCGCGATCCGCCCCTTTAAGCGATATTTTTGTAAGTGAGCTTTGATCTCGCAATTTATTTGCCTGTCAATTTCAGGAAAAGGCCACGCGCCTCTCTCGGGGTAGTGCCGACCCAATAAATCTGGAGTTAACGTCAATATTGAGCTCTGTAATAGCTGTATTAACATAAGTTTTCCATAACAGATATGACTATTACATTTGATGTATTTGAAGAGCAGTCATGAAGGTTTAATGGAATGAAAATAAATGGAATTCATATGATCTGAATGAATGGTTTAATGACCACGACCATGACATGATATTGAAAGAATTGCATACAATTGTTTTTAAATTAAGATCGTCACTTCTCTATGAAAGATAATATAGTCCAATGAATAAATCATTTCTGATTTTGATTTATAAAATGAATAGATATTATCAATAAGTGTTTATTTAATATCTTCTAATAACTCTATAATCTATATTTATGTAAAAGTGAACTAGAACATAACGTAAGCACTGACTGATATATCTATTCATTTTATAAATCACAATCAGATATTATTTATTCACTGGACTAACACAACAAGACTAACTTACAGGACTAATGTAAGTCATGTGCTTTCACCGATTGCAAATTTAAAATATTTACTAATTATAACAATAAGCCTTACTTATTACTTACTTTACAATATAGTGTTTAAATTAAGTTTTTGTTTGTGTTAAGATATCGTCAAGTATTAGGTAAAATCATCTTTTCACCTTTTCTCTCTCCTGTTCAATGAACGTGACAAAACAACCTTCCTCCCTGAAACTATTAATTATTAAGTGCAGGATTTCATTGCAGCACATTAATCAACGGTGGAAAATTCAATAATCCTTTTGGTGGTAAAGCAGAGCCATTGATACATTAGAAACTGTAACGGAAATGACAGCGCACGAGATTATTCGTTTGATGCATCGAACAGATAAGGTGATTGGTGGCAGATTGTATCGCTCATCCTCCACTTATATAATGCACCTTATTCTTTATGTGGTATGGTGCATTTTGCTGTTTACTGTAGTTTGTATGGGACAGTGTTACGGGTCGGGAGAAATTCGCGGCTGATCACACTACGGGGTGCCCTGCCGAACATGTGGACAATCTTTCACGCTCTATAATAATGTGTCCGTTCACCCTTATATTGGGTTGAGTAGTCAATAGAGTAATGTGTACATGGATTCGACAATTTGAATTAAGAACAAGAAGAATATTTTGGCCCTACATGCTGGATCAAGAGCGCAGGAAAAATATAAAATGCGTCAGCTGTTAACTTTATCTGGCTGAAAGTGGAATTTTAACAACGGTATACCTTAATAAAATTAGTTAGCAGTTTTGGAAACTAGCATTGAACTTAATGCTTGTCAAAGTGACGAGTTATCTTATTTTATGGCGACCACGAAGAAAGTGATAGCAAGAACTTTAATCAAACCCGAAATAATATTGATATCAATAAATAAGATAAATCAAGTTTTTATTCAAAAAAGTTTCATGATTTAGTAATATTCT